AGACTTACTTGTTGGGAAATAATTGCTTCGTTCAAAATGATTGCTACACACATGCATCGATTGTGTCAATTCTTTACCCGTTTTAATGGCAACAGCCCACAATTTTCTCAGAGCTGGATCCCTAGGGACCCTGTGCAAGTGGTTTGATTCATTTTTTACCGCCGAACACTGAGGAACGCAACAGTTATGCCGCTCCCGTTGCTTTTTGGGTTCGCCATCAGTCGGATCTTGCACATCACCCATTCCAAATAAGAAATACTTCACAATTTTCACGATATTTAGAAAACTAGAGAGCAGGGCGACCGGTTAATGTGTGTGTTGGGTGTGAGTCCTATGTAAACAAGCGGCGCGACGCCCAGTCGGTCACGCTCTTCCTAGTTCGCGCGTCGGCCGCCAGGGGCGGGAGTGGCGCTACTGGAAACGCGAATTACTCCAGTGATGATCAAAAAGTTTCGCGTCTGTCTGTCATCACGATACCTCGAGAGCAAATTGAGCCAGCGACCTGGGATTTTCAGGGTCGTTTTGTGTCATTGGCTGAGCGATAGCGAAGCCTTTTACCCCAGTGACGATCAAAAAGTTTCGCGTCTGTCTGTCTGTGTGTGTGTCTGTCTGTGCGCACGATAACTCGAGAACGAATTGAGCTAGCGACCTGGGATTTTCAGGGTCGTTTTGTATCATAAAAAGACAGATCGAGTTCGAAGAAGAGCATTCTAGCTCAAAAATTTGGTTTTTAAAAAAATCAGAAACCACAGGTCCCACAAGTAATGTTATTGGCTGAGCGATTAGCGAAGCCTATTACTCCAGTGATGATCAAAAAGTTTCGTGTCTGTCTGTGTGTGTGTGTTTGTCTGTAATCACGATAACTCGAGAACGGTTTGAGCTAGGTACCTGAAATTTTTAGTGTAGCTTTGTATCATAAAAAGCAAGAACTGTATTGATTTTGAGCCCTCTAGCTCAAAAATTAGACGAGAACGGGCCACTTGAAATGCATTTGGAAAATATTGCTAATTTTAATTATTTTTTTATAGTTTTCTAAGGGGTAACTCGTCAAAGTAGAACCCTATGGGCAAAAATTTCGTCCGTTTGGCTCTATCTCTAACCGTTTAGTCGCCAGAGGGCGATTTTAACACGAAAATGACCCCAAACCATCTTAATGCTGTTTCTAAGATATTTGATGGTCTCCTCTTCAGAATAAAATCTTGGTGGTAAAATATGGGTCATTTGGTGCCGAAGGCCTATCTACGACTCTGCCTTTTGCCCGACTCGGGTGTCAGCGCCGCAGGCCTAGGTAGATGTATGCCAGGCGCGTCGCAGCGTAACAGTGTTTCGTGAGATATCGCGAAGCCTGTTACGCGAGACGTGGTCTGGCGTACATCTACCTTGTTATTTGGCTGATTTGGCTGAGCGATTAGCGAAGCCTATTACTCCGTCTGGTCGGAAAAAACTTTTACTGTCTGTCTGTGTGTCTGTCTATCTGTCCGCACGAAAACTCGAAAACGAATTGAGCGAGCGACCTGGGATTTTCAGGGTCGTTTTGTATCGTAAAAAGACAGATCGAGATCGAAGATGAGCATTCTAGCTCAAAAATTGGATTTCTAGAAATTCAAAAACAACAGGTCCCAAAAATGACGTTTTTTAAAAATATTTTTTTATGGTTTCCCTCATCAAAGTAGAGCCCATGGGCGAAAATTTTGTCCGTTTTGCTCTAGATCAAACCGTTGAGGCGCTAGAGGGTGTTTTTAACGAAAATAAGCGAAAAAATGTACAACCCTTCATGATTAGTCGAAGTGACGGGCGTTGACGGGCCGGAGGCCCGTATCTTTGTGCACATTTTTGCACTACCAGACTCGGGTGTCAGCGACGCAGGCCAAGGTAGATGTATGCCAGGCGCGTCGCAGCGTAACAGTGTTTCGTGAGGTATCGCGAAGCCTGTTACGCGAGACGTGGTCTGGCGAACATCTACCTTGTTATTGGCTGAGCGATTAGCGAAGCCCATTACTCCACTGACCGAAAAAGTTTCATTCTGTTTGTTTGTTTGTGTGTCTGTCTGTCCGCACGATAACCCGAGAAGGAATTGAGATAGCGATCTGGGAATTTCAGGGTCGTTTTGTATCATAAAAAGACAGATCGAGTTCGAAGATGAGCATTCTAGCTCAAAAATTGGCTTTTTAAAATATCAAGAACTACAGGTTGGAAAAAATATTTTTATCAAATATTTTTTTATGGGTTCCTAAGGGGTAACTCGTCAAAGTAGAGTCTTACGGGCGAAAATTTCGTCCGTTTGGCTCTATCTTGTACCGTTTAGGTGCTAGGGGGCATTTCTTGACAAAAATGAGGTGAAAATGATAAAATGGTCGATTAAATCGTTAAAAGGACTTCATTTCGAAAAAATTGTATATACACGCCTATTACCTCGTCTCGGGTGTCAGCGCCGCAGGCCTAGCTATATGTGCGCCAGGCGCGTCGCAGCGTAACAGTGTTTCGTGAGATATCGCGAAGCCTGTTACGCGAGACGTGGTCTGGCGTACATATAGCTAATTATTATTATTTTAATTATTCCAGGACCTGCTGTCACCGTGGGGTTGTCAGTGGCAATGCCAGT